GAATATGGCGATGACTATAATTTTATCTCACCCTCAACTCAACTGTTAAAAAAAGAGTAGCCGTCTCATAGTATACCCCATACCCCGAGCGAGCAATAATAACCATTAAGATACATCCAGCGGCACGTGCCCCATGCTGTTTTTTCACATCCTTTAATCTTTTAACTGAAAAAGCAGATTTTTATCTTTGTATGGGTTTAGTTATTTTGCATGTAAAATGCCAAATCACAGGAGATTATTTCCAAACTATCCACCTTTTGAGGCATAACTTGTCGATAAAAATAATCTTAGAGACTATAATAATATGTAAGTAAGCATCTCGGCTACTTTTCACTTGTATGTACTTGATCTAATCTTATACCTGCTCGTTAAGATATCAATTTTTTAAATCACTGAAGGAGGGTGATTAGTTTTCTTGGCCCCGTCCACGAAGCTCGAGTGGCTCAGGGAAAAGAGAGAGTGAGGGCCAGGGCAGTGTTTGAAAACACAAAGGTTGTCTCCAAGAGATGAGTAGTTCACGGTGGAATCGACGGCCGTGTCGGTTACAGTACAATCGGTATGAGAGAGGAAAATGACGCCACTAAGATAATGAAAAAGTTCATTGAATTTCTGTACCTCTGTAAACTAACATTTTTTTTTTAAAAGCAGGAATACACTTTTCCTCAGATTTTTCAAGTCTAAGGCCTTTCGTCGAAGTGGTTAAGGCACTTCATTTCCCCCCGTTTCCAAACCCATATATCCCGACCTTCATGCCCCCATCCCCAATTTCTAACCCCTTCCCCCATACCCGTATCCTCCACCCCTCACCCCTCACCCCCGTTGACCCCGACCTCTCCTCCCCTCATTCCCGAGTCCATCATCCTTCTATTCCAGATACCTCCCCCTCATCCTCCGAACACACATCCCTCTATTCCCGACCTCTCACCCTCATCCCACCCCCTCAAGAGTTCTAGATTTCTTTTGCTATTATTAATTATAATCCCCTTCTGCTGCACAATCTAGGTTTCCGATGTTGTCCAGGTTTGTGCACAGTTGCACAACAGGCCGATCTCCAGAAAAATCCTTGTTCTGGTTTGTCCGCGGTGCTGTGTTGGTTTCGATATTTGACAACTTGATAGTGATCCGATTTCCTGTTTTGTGAAGTAGTGTGTGATGGCTGTGTAAATTTTCAGCTCCCCCCCACCCCACCCCCCAT